ACCCTAACCCTAACCCTAACCCTCACACCAGATACTGACTGGTTTTCGGACCAGCCTAAGGCACACCTGTGCAATAATCATGCTGTCTAATCAGCATCTTGATATGCCACACCTGTGAGGTGTGATGGATTATCTCGGCAAAGGAGAAGTGCTCACTATCACAGATTTTTTTCAGATTTGTGAACAATATTTTAGAGAAATGGTTATTTTGTGTATATAGAAAATGTTTTAGATCTTTGAGTTCATCTCATGAAAAATGGGAGCAAAAACAAAAGTGTTGCATTTATATTTTTGTTCAGTGCAATTAGAAAAAAAGATTGCCACTTTTAAATGTTCTTTATTTAACTTCAATTATTGTATTACACTTATTGCTGCATGTATGTGTTCATCACTTCAATGTTGGACTTGGTAAAGGTGACTTTACTTCACTATTTGGTAATTGAACTTATAATACCATAATGTGTGTTGATTTAAAGTAGCTGCAAATAAAAGATACATTATAGATACATACAAGGCTGCTGTCAAGTTTCATATGGAAAATATCCACACAAAAAACCTGGAATAATGACCTACACTTTAACCAAGATGCAAAAAATACTGATTATTAATGCGTCCAAGTTCCCCAAGCAAAACCCCTGAACTGCTCGTACACAACTGTAGGAGCAGCTCTGTGGAATCTAATTTCCCTCTCTGACTCACAGCTGAAAACCACAGTTTAAAAAGTGCTGGTTAACACAGGATGGCCACACCCAATCAGAACGATGCCCAACTGATGTGCGCAGTTATAAATGGAGGGTCTTTTAAGGACACAGAAGTCTTTTATTCTGTAAATATTGAATTTGTGTCGGATTAAAACTTCCTCAAAATAGATCTGGTTTTGTTTAAGTTACTATAGCAACCGAAAATACACAGTCATTCCTCTGATATGAGCGCGTGAGTGATTTTGCACAAAATCACAAAAACAGAGCGTTCAAAGATGGGATGTCAGTGTTTATTTGTTCTGCTCCACCCTCTGAGATTCATTGGGAAAGTATGTGGTTCAGCTTCAATGGTGTAAAGTATTGAAGTACATTGACTCAAGTACTGTACTTCAATAAGATTTTGGGGTACTTGTACTTTCCTGAAGTATTTCCATTTTATGCTACTTCATACTTCAACTCCACTGCATTTTTGGAGGCAATATTTTAATTTTTACTCTACTACAGCTATTCAACAAAATGAGTTACTAGTTACTTTACATATTCACATTATAAGCTAATACATAGTATACATAAACTAATACAAAAACTATGACATAAAAGTATAGGTTGAGGTATGGAGCAGCAGTATACAAAGTCATTAGCTCCACCTTTACCAACTTTGATGAACACATTACTGCATGAATAATTGTAATCCACTCATTTAATATATTTCAATTTAAAACAGGACATTAGGCACAGTAAGCAATTTAAGTTTTGGTACTTTAACTACATTTTGATACCAATACCTTTGTACTTTTACTCAAGTAAGATTTTGTATGCAGCACTTTTTTCTTGTTACAGATTATTTTTTAAACTGGGTATTTCTTCTGCCTCAGCATTTTTTTTTTTACAGTTTAGAAAGTTAGATAGGAAAGATGTCTAGGTGTCTTTTGCAATTCCCTGACTCAAATTTTAATTTAGAAGCTTGTTTTGTATTGTTCAGGGATGCTAAAACATAAAAAAGCATTTAAAGCTCTATATTTGCAAGTGTTTGGCAGATCATTTACAGTATTGGGGTTAACTCGGGTGAGGGGAGCCCTACTCACATTCCTTCGTAGACTTGGACGCCCTGCTGGTTCTGCAGGCGGGTCTTAGCCAGGTCAATAGGAAACACACATGTCACACCAACCAGGCCTGCGATGCCCCCATTAATCAGCTTAGCAGGGAGGCTGCTAAAGGATCAACACAGACACATGCACACACGCATGCACGCACCCACGTAAATGCAGTCGCCCACAGAAAGCCACGCAAACACACACACACACACACACACACACACACACACACACACACACACACACACACACACAGAGTGTAAACGCTAAATCCAGCAGCTGCTTCCACTTAGTGAATACAATTTGATCTGTTTTCATTAGTCTAAACAAACACGTTAAACTACTTACCTAACTTGCTTCTCCGCCATCCTGCTTGTGTTTGGGCTCCAGGCCCACTACTCCTCCTCTCCTCCTCCTCCTCCTCCTCCTCCTCCACGTACCCCTCCTATTCGTCTTCCCTTTCCTCTTCCTCTTCCCTCCCACACTTTAGCGCAGAGAACCAAAGTTGTCACCACAGCTAAAAGCTCACCTGCCCACCCACGCCACAAAAGCTGATCACTGCTTCTGTTAATGCGGCAGCAATTGGCCGCCTTCTTCTTCTCCTCCTTGGTACGGCAGGAGTGGATGATTTTAGCTTTTTTATGGCAAAATCACTGATGTTTGATCTCCTGGCCAGCTTTTTTGCTATGTTGTATATTACACCAAAACCAAATGTCTCTCCCACTGCCTGGAAACACAAAAACACACACAGTTTGATGTGGTTTGAATGATTTCAAAGAGTACAAATAAGACCAATGTTCCTCTATTCTAAATGATGCTTTGTGAAGGCATTCAAGGCCATATAAGTGTATCTTTGTGGTGGAGGGTTGACACACCTAACATTAACCATAAGAGCAGGCAAATCCAGCTTCATACATGTGAAAAGTGGAATATCCCAGGACTAACACACTGGACATCACAGGACATCTTGAGTCTCTCTAATCTGCCAGCTAAAAGGGATTTGATCTAGCAAAGGAGACCTGAAAATGAGAGGCTTGCTGGTATTCTTTTACCACATTTGGAATCCAGCATTTAACAAAAGACTGGATTTGAATAGAAGTGGGAAGATTTGTTTGACTAGTTTCTTTTCTGTATTTGTTCTCGAAGTACAATAGTTTGCAGTCTTAAGAAGTGTGTAGCTCAGATAATAAAAAATGCTTTTGAAGCCTTATCTTGGGTTCACAGCTCTTGCTTTTCTTTACTATGTTTACCTGTTTCTTCCTTTCTTTTTCTGCCTTTTTCCTCTCCTGACTTCCCCCTTCCCTCAGCTCCCTAATTAATCTCTCTCTTAATCTCTCCACCACCGTTCTAACTCTAATTTTACCACTGTTAACCTTAACTCTATCCCCCACTCTCCTCTCCTCTGAGAGTAAAGGAAGCAATCAATTCCCCTTGGTCATCGTCTCATCCTGAATTGTATAATTAATCTCCAAATATATATATTTCCTTTTTACTCTGTCTTTTCCATTGCGGGATCCTAGTCACATTCTACACATGCCTTTCACTGAGCCTCTTTCTGTGAAACTTTCTTTCAGCTCAGCTCCATTCACCCACAGTAGTGACCCTGCCAAAGCACAGACAAGGGTGCCTCACCCCAAGCCAAACCTAGAGCTCCCAGAGCTCAATTTCCCCCCGAAAAACTGCACTGGCTCGCACAGTTCACATACAGCACAAATCCTCACAAAACAGCTTCCATAAAATCAAATCATATTCTTCCATAATAGGGATAAAGCATTGGGGGAATGGGGGTCTTACCTCTGCCGGTGCATCCCACAGACAGGATCAAGCTGTCCACTTTCCTTTCACTTCAACAATGCTTGCAGCAATGGTAGTGAAGCGAGAGCGATCTGAGAGAGCCAGCCGCCACTCAGGGGCCGTTGCACAAACACCAGCATTGTCCTGCAGCCTAAGTCCCTCCCTCTCGTGGTGACTCCATGTGTGACACAGCCCTGGCAACACAGCTCTGCACTAACACAACTCGACATAAACTCATGCTACTACCACAAAGCATGCAACACACAAGGCAGGAAGAAATACCCACACTGTGTATCCTTTCTAAGAATATATTTACATAAAACAACAACTAAAAAGGCTGCCCATCAGTAATGAGCTCTCTATTCAACAGTCTTAGTATTACATAATACCTCATTGAATTCCATAAATGTTCACAGACTTACAATTACTACCAGAGTAACAGTGAAATACCTATGTGATTATCACTCTTCGGGACATTATATTTGTTATTATTGGGAAATATCTAAAGGTCATTAAAGGATAATAAGGTTATTTAAGGTGGTCAACAAATAGTGCACGTGACTGCCACAGCAACCACTCATTGGCTCTGAACACGTTTTTTTTCATGAGCATTGACTATTGTATTGATTCTTGCCGATGGAAAAACAATTACTATCAATGATCACTTCACTCATCAGCTGAGAAAATCTTTCATTAAGGATTTTCTAGATTTGCTTTAACCCTAACCCTTTAAAAGAAGGTTTGATGGGTTAAAAATTCGAAACTTGCTGGTCTATATATCAATATGTGGCATTTAACCCGTGTTGGAATAAGTAGTCAGATTGTTTGCTTAAGCAAAAGTACAAATACTATATTCCACTCCAAGTAAAAGTCGTGATTTCAAAATTCTACCTAAGTTAACCCTATTGTCTTAGTTCCCCCACCCCCCCTTACTTTGGTGTTTGCGGTAAAATTTGACCGGTCCTGTTTTAACTGCTATTACATTAACACAAAAACCATTAATCATCACCAAATTTCATTTAACACCCTTTCAAACTGTACATATTGTATCAGACTACTCTGGTATACATGCAAAACTATACAAAGAATAGACACTGAACATGTGCCAGGTGTGATCCATGTGGGGGGATGGGCACATAAGAGCGGGAAATGTGTCAAATTGTTCTGTGTGTGTTTGTTTGTGAGTGCCAGGTGTGATTCACATGAGGGGATTGGGCACAAGCAGTGAGTGTGTGTGTGTGTGTGTGTGTGTGTGTGTGTGTGTGTGTGTGTGTGTGTGTGTGTGTGTGTGTGTGTGTGTGTGTGTGTGTGTGTGTGTGTGTGTGTGTGTGTGTGTGTTCAAGTATCAACAGTGAAAGTACTGGTTATGCACAATGGGTCTTTTCGCAGTATTATATAATTATGGTTATTAAATTATCCTGTTTTTCAGCATTTTAGCATAGTAGTTGTTCAATTTGGACCAAATGTAGATACTGTGTAGATTAGTAGTACAGTACTGCATTATACCATATCAGCATATCATGCGTTTTTATATGTACACAAAAAATGGGTGAATGTTAAAATAAATGCAGCGGAGTAAAAAGTAGAGTATTTGCCTCCAAAATGTAGCCTACTGGGGTAGAAGTACAAAAACCCTTTAAATGGAAATACTGAAGTAAAGTAAAAATATGTCAGGAAAGTACTTAGGTACAATACTCTAGTAAATGTACTTAGTTACGTTCAACCACTACATTTACTTTGTTTACATGTTGTGTTTGTGCCATTTGTTTCCTTACTCCTCTCTTTGGACAGCAACTCATTTAAACGTGCCATGAAAGCACTCCCAGAAAGAGTTCACCACTGCTTTATATACCGGACCCGTGTGTGTTCTGTGATCTAACCGAGAACTCTTCTTTGGGGTTTTTTGTTTCAATGGGCCACTAAAATCACCAGGGTTACAGCGCATACTAAGATACACTCCATGATCCTGAACCAGAAAAAACAGCAGGGATGAACTCTCAAATGTCAAACAGTAGGGAGCTGCCTTAATAAATAAAGTTAATTTGAATTCAAGGAGTAAAAAAGAAGGCAAATAAGCTGGTATTTAAATATACACTGAATAGCATCCCTTAACCCTCTATTTTTTCCCAGCTACCAACATAAAACACTGAGTTTTAAACCAAGATGACTTGGCTTGCTCTGTTGCCTAGCAATGTCACACACATCACATGGGACTGACGTAAGAGTGTCACATTTTAGCCAGTGGCGGTTCTAGACCAATTCTACTGGGGGGGGGGGGGCCAGGCTGGGGCCAGTTATTTCATGAGAGGGGCACAATAAAAGACAAAGACAGTATAAAGTAAATGTGTAAAATAAACATAAAATACAGTGATTGGTATTTGTTTTGTAAAGTTATTTGTTTTAGTAAATTTAAGTTACAGTCCTTTGTTTCAGTTGTTTTTTTCATTTAGAGTATTTGTTTTAGCTACTTTAAGTGACAATGTAATTAAAAAACATAAATAGTATCAGCTTTTATATAACAGTTTACTCTCCACTGTACATCCGGGTAACTGATTTGATTTAGTTCCAATAAATCGTAATATTGTAACCTTTTTTTTGGAGGGGGGCCACAGGGGGGTCCCTGATCAGTGTTACGGGGGCACTGGCACTGAAAAATAACTAGTAGCTAATGAGGCCACATAAATGTAATGGAGTAAAATGTAGAATAATGAGTTTTAGAATCAGAAATATTTGAATAATCCCAAATATTGATTGATTGACAGTTGTTCTATTTTAAAATGAATAGAATCGAATAAATTAAAAATAAAATACATATATTATATATACATAAGAAGTGAATATGTGCAATAAAATATGCAAATATATATATAAAAATAGGAATTAAAGTAATATGTCAAAAAAAGATATAATAATATAAAAATGATATAATATGAAATACAAATAAGAAGTAATGTGCCAGAGTGTAGTTTTTAAATGTATGGGACTAAAGTAAAGTTCCTGAAAATGGTCAAAGCCAAACAGTACAAAACTTGATTTCCCCCACTCACTGTAAAAACGCAAACTTAAAATTGTTGGCCTGAAAATAATTTGTTTGTAAAGTGAACAAAAAATATTGAATTGAGTTGCTTACT